TAACTTGGCTCAAAGTCTTAAAGATTTGTAAGGATATATCCCAAGTACAAGTTTATAACTTCTTATTCTCTTATCCCTTATTTCAACACAAATGTATATACATATACAATGTACATGAATACATAAAACACGCCCAGGGCTGGGAAGGTGGTTCAATGGTAGACTGCTTGCCTTGCATGCATGAGGTCCTGGATTCGATTCCTTAGCACCACATAAGCAGAAAATGTCAGAAGTGGTGTTGTAGCTCAAGTAGAACGCTATCCTTGAGCTGAAGAGCAGAGGGACAGAGCCCAGGGCCAGAGTTCAGACCCCAGAACTGACCCCCCCCCCAAAAAAAAAGCCCAGAAATATGTGAGTGAAGCTTGTTACAAGAGGGGGGAAAATTGCTGGGCACGAGTGGCTCACACTGGTAATCTTGGCTACTCAGGAGGCTTAGATAGGAGAATCCTGGTTAGAAGCTGGCCCAGGCAGGATAGTCGATAAGATTCTAATCTCCAATCAATCACCAAAAAGTGGAGCTGTAGCTCAGCACTAGCCTTGAGCACAAAAGCTCAGAGATAGCACCCAGGTTCAAAACCTGAAAAAATAAAAAATTAATAAAAGGGGGTGGGGGGAACTAACCAGGCATGGTGACAGAAAACTGTAATCCCAATATTTGAAGGGCTAAGGAAGGAGAATTATTCAAAGACAGCCTGGGCTACATACCGAACCTCTTATCTACCTCTCAAATAGTCAGGGACAATTTTTTAATATGGTAATACATCCAGGGGCTGGGAAGTTGGCTCAGTGGTAGAGCGCTTGCCTTGCATGCATGAGGCCCTGGGTTCCTCAGCACCACATAAGCAAAAAGAAAAAAGCCAGAAGTGGGGCTGTGGCTCAAGTGGTAGAGCGCTAGCCTTGAGCTGAAGAGCTGAGGGATAGCGCCCAGGCCCAGAGTTCAGGCCCACAATTGGACCCAAAAAAAAAAAAAAAAAATATATATATATATATATATATATATGGTAATACATCCAAAAACAATGGAATACTAAGCAATCACTAAGAATTAATAGCTAACCAGATGCCCGTGGTTCACACCTGTAATACTCAGTACTCAGGAAGCTGAGATCTGAGGATTGAGATTAGAAACTAGCCCAAGAAGAAAAACTTTTATTATTATGGTGAAACTCTTATTTCCAATTAACCAATTAAAAGTTGGAAGTGGAACTGTGGCTCAAGTGGTTGAGTATAAGACTTAAGCAAAAAAGATACTAGGCCCTGAACTTGAGCCCTAGTACCAACTAGTATTAGTATCACCATCACCATCACCACCACCACCACCACCGCCACCGCCACCGCCACCTCCCCCACACACACATTTAACCAATGCAAAAAGAGTGTGGCTCCAATGGTAGAACAAGCAAGCCAAGCAAGCCCAAGGCCCTGAGTACAAACCTATGTTTGGGCAAAAAATAATAATAATTTATAACTATGTTATTGGTCAGGATTACCATACATTTTTTACTTTTTCTTTTTTCTTTTTTTGCGAGTCATGGAGCTTGAACTCAGGGCCTAGGCACTGTCCCTGAGCTTCTTTTGCTCAAGGCTAGCACTCTACAACAGTGAGCCATAGTGCCACTTCCAAAACTTCATGCATGCTAGGCAAGTACTCTACTGCTAAGCCTCTCCTCAGCTGAGATTACAGGTACATACTACTATGCCCAGTTCCTCCCCAACTTTTTGTCTGTTGCCAGTAGTAAGGCTTGAATTCACACTCTCTTTGCTTTTTGCTTAAGGCTGACATTCTACCATTTAAATCACACCTCTACTGCCTGCATTTTGCTGGTTAACTGGTGATCAGTGTCTACGATACGTCTACCTGTGATGGCTTCAAATCTCCAACCTCAGATCTCAGTTTCCTGAGTAGTTGGGATTACATGCATAAGTCAGCAGCACAAGTTCCTCTCCTAATTTTTCTTTTCTTCCACTCCTGGGGCTTAAACTCAGGGCCTGGGAACTATCCCTGAGCCTCTCTGTGCTTACAGTTAGCATTCTACCACTTGAGCCACAGGGTCACTTGTGGCTTTTTCTGTTTATGCGGTACTGAGGGATCGAACCCAGGGCTTCATGCATGCTAGGCAAGCACTCTATCACTAAGCCACATTCCCAGCCCCAGCAAAGTTACTTTCATTTGTCCAATCACTAATCTTCTAATATCATTATTCCGTAGTCTAAAATATTAAATATATACTTTTCTTTAGTCCTCCCACAAACAGAAACTTCTTGAACACAGATTTAGTTTAATGCCTTTATAGATTATAAAAATCACCCCCAAACGGGTAGGTAAAGTGTTTTCAAGACTTTAACTACTAGAAGCCAGGCATTGGTAGCTCATGACTAAAACTTTAGCTACTCAGGAGGCTGAGATCTGAAGATCCCCATTCCAAGCCAGGCCTGGCAGAAAAGTCCGCCATGAGCCTCTCATCTCCAGTTAACCACCAGAAAACTGGAAGTGGAGTGTAGCTCAAAGTGGTAGAGTGTTAACCTTGAGCAAAAGAGCTCAAGGACAGTGCCTAAACCCTGAGTTCAAGCCCCATACAAAAAACAAAACAACTACTAGAAAAAAAGTGTCACCATTCTCTTTCTGTAATTCAGTGTGTGTGTGTGTGTGTGTGTGTGTGTGTGTGTGTGTGTGTGTGTGTGTGTGTGTGTGTGTGTGTGTGTGTGTGTGTGTGTGTGTGTGTGCGCGCGCGCGCCAGTTCTAGGGCTTGAACTCAGGGACTAGGCACTATAACTGAGCTTTCTCCCCTCAAAGCCATAGCTCCACTTCCATCTTTTTTGTGGTTAAGTAAAGTCTCATGAATTGTCTTTCTGGGGCTGACTCTGAACCACAATTCGCACATCTCAGCCTCCTGAGTAGCCAGGATTACAGCCCAACAGCTGAGTTTTATCTGTTAGTGGCAAAGTTAAGCAGTCACAATTGCAGATAAGACACTAAATGAAAACTTTAAAAAGTGCTATTTTCTCACTTTCTCACAATTTCCACAAAAACAAACACAAGTGGAAGATTCATCAACTCTATCTCATAACCTACAAAACAAATGCAGATGAATACACATATCCAGGTTTATGGAAACCAGGCTACAGAATTAAGGTATGGTAAAGCAGTTATATCCTTTAACTTTCTTCTTTAGACTTTTCTATAATTTTCCAAATTTCCCCACAGTGAATATTTACTACTTTTTTTTTTGGGGGGGGGGGGAGGGTGGTCCGGTCATGGGGCCTGAACTCTGGGCGTGGGCGCTGTCCCTCAGCTCTTCAGCTCAAGGCTAACGCTCTACCACTTGAGCCACAGCACCACTTCTAGCTTTTTTCTTTTTGCTTATGTGGTGGTGAGGAATCTAACCCAGGGCCTCATGAATGCAAGACAAGCGCTCTACCACTGAGCCACCTTCCCAGCCCCATATTTACTACTTTTGTATTCAGAAATACCTCACTTAAAAAAAAAAAAGGTGACCTATACACATTCCTTGACAAGGCTGCTCAATGTTGACCATACATTACTAGGTTTGTGTTTGTTTGGGGTTTTTGTTGGGGAGTCGGTCGTGGGTTTTGAATTCAGGGCCTAGACGCTGTCCCTGAGCTTTTTTGCTCAAGATTAGCACTCTTACCACTTCAAGCCACAGAGCCACTTCCAGTTTTCTGTTATTTGGAGATGCGTTGCAAGAGCTTTCCTGCCCAGGATGGCTTTGAACCACATACTCAGATCCCAGCCTCCTGAGTAAGCCAGGATTGCAGGAGTGAGCCACCTGCACCGGGCTTTAAATATTACTGTTTGTGTTACTTTGCACCTTTAAGGATGAACAGAGCTTCACTTTTCTTCTAATGGTTATTTTGTGCCAGTCCTGGGTCTTGAACTCAGGGCCTAGGTGTTTTCCCTGGGCTTTTTCTACACAAGGCTATCTCTCAACTACTTGAGCCACAGATCCACTTACAGCTTTTTGCTGGTTGGAGATGGGACTTTCCTGCCTGGGCTGATTTCAAATCATGACCCTCAGATCTCAGCTTCCTGGGTAGCTGGGATTACAGGCATGAATCATGGGTGCCAGGCTGTAATGGTTTATTTCTCTATATAGAAATTTTTATTTATTTTTGTCGTATTCTTTCATTTGTTCTTAAAGCACAACAGAAATTCTCACTAATGCCCAAGAGCTTTAAAAAAAAAACCTACCTCTAAATATCCTTATAACAAAATTGGAAGAAAAAAATTATCTGCCGACTAATCCTAACTTTATCAGTCCACCTTCACTTCGGACTAGGGAGGAGTAAAGGCCGGCTGAACTACATGTCCCACCATGCATTGCTGCCTGGTTCAGACTAGGTCTCTACGGAAACAGAAAAAAAAGGGGGGGGGGGAGAAAATCCTACAAGTCCCACCTGTTACTTCGTTTCTAAACACCTCCAGCACTTTCCGCTCCAACAGCAAACAAAAACAAAAGCCTCGTGACCTCGCGTCGGCTCCGGGAGCCAGTAACGCGGGGGGCCCGGGGTCAGGCGGCACGTCGGCTGTAGCGGGTGAAATCTCCCGAGCTCCAGCTCCCCCCCGCCTTTATTTCCGAGGCGAACGCACGCACAAGCCTTCTCCTGCCAGCATCCAATGGGGGTTCTCCAGGAGCCCCAGGGAGAAGAACCGGTTAGGGTGCAAGCAACAACAGACTTCCCGTGCCGGGGCGGGGGCTGCCGGAGTGGGGGCGACGGAGACGTGACCCGGACACACAGCTTGAAAACACCAGGAGGACTCGTCGCCGACCCCGGGAGAAGCCGCAGCCCCGCGGCGACCCCCTCCCGTTCCGCGGGCGTCTCGACCCCCCACCGGGACGGCAGTCCCGACCTAACCGCCGCCCTTCCCGCTGGGTTTCATGGCCCCTCCGCCGGGTCGCAGGAGCCAGTGACCTCCCTTCCCCGGCGACAGGCGGGCGACGAGGGAACCAAATCCCCCCAGCCTTCCCCCTCCCCCTTACCGTCTTGGCGGCCTCCGCCCAGGTCCTGCCCTTCTTCCTACGGCCCTTTTCCCTCATGTCGGGTCTTGAACTGACTGGGAGGCTCCCGTGTCCCGGCTCCGGCCGCCCTCCCTGTCTGCTCTGCTCTGCTCTGCCCTGCGCTGCTTTTCCCGCGGTGCCGGGAAAGGTGGGAAAAAGGGGAAGTCGGGCCGGAGGAGCACCCTAGCGGAGGAAGCGGCGGGGAAGGAACGCGGGCGTGAGGGGGTGTCTATGGGGCGGCCGGTCCTGCTGCCGTTGCCACTGCTACCGCCGCTGCCATATTGGGTTCTTACTGTACAGGCAGCCGCTAAGGTCATGTGACCGCTCCCGCGCGGCCGTCACTACTGTAAGGAGCCGGACACGCGAACGCGCGCGCGCTCCCGCTCTCCCGCACCCGACCACAGGGCGAGGGAGCCCGCTGGCCTAGGAGTTGTTTCGCCCCGCCCCCTTCTTTCCGGTCTCCGCCTCGCCTCAGGAGCATGCGCATGAGGATGGGCCTCCTTCAGTCTGCGTCTGACGCCTGCCTGGCAGCCACGCCCACAGCAAAAAAAAAAAAAAACCCTCCCTGCGGAAGCGGAACTTGATCTTTCCAAAGCCACTCGTCGAGTGGACTGTGACTGCGTGCGAAGCTCGGAGCGGATCTGGAGACGGTGTAGAGCCGGCTTGTTCCTTCAAGGGGTGGTGCTGCCAGCTGTCACTTCTAGTAGGCCTCGCGCTTGTGTTTCCTCTTGTACGTTCATTTTGAAGATCCGCAGCAGTTCTACTTAGTAGTCCCCTTGTATAGATGAGACAGCAGTGTGATTTGCCAAATTATAGTATGGGATGTGGAGAAAACAAATGTCAAGTTGCCAGCTCAGAGTTTGCCTCCCAAAGTTTGCCTCTCCAACTTATATGACTTTTGTATGGCCACTTATTATTAGTTACTTATGCGTGAATAGTCTCATATACGATAGAAGTCGTTTTTTCTTGCTGTTTAATCTGGATAACCTCAGTCTCTGGCACAGCATCTGAATACGTCAGGTGTCTGTTAAATATTTGTTGAATGATTTAACTATGTGTGTGGTCAAAAACCATAATTTGTAATGTTTCTAACTTAGATTATTCTGAAAGAGCCAGCATTTGGCACCTCCCCTTGCATTATCTATGTCCATGCCTTTATATAAGTTGTCTTTTAAAAAGAATATTTAGGGGGGCTGGGAAAGTGGCTCAGCGGTAGAGCGCTTGCCTTGCATGCATGAGGCCCTGTTCGATTCCTCAGCACCACATATGCATGAGGCCCTGTTCGATTCCTCAGCACCACATAAGCAAAAAGAAAAAAGCCGGAAGTGGTGCTATGGCTCAATTAGTAGAGCACTAGCCTTAAGCTGAAGAGCTGAGGGACAGTGCCCAGGCCCAGAGTTCAGGCCCACAACCGGACCCAAAAAAAAAAAAAAAGAAGAAGAAGAAGAACATATAGGAACTGGGATGTAATTATGTAGTACAGAGCTTGCCAAGCATGGACAAGCTCCATGGATGGATGTCTTTCATAACTTCATGGACACTCTTCCCTGTTTACAGTGATTGGCAATATTTTGTACTGTATATGTAGTTTTTTTGTTTTTTCTAAAGAAAAGGTCTCATAAGTACCTTGATTTTTTTTTTCTTTTTTTTTTTGTACCAGTTCTGAGGCTTGCACTCAGGGTATGAGTGCTGCCCCTGAGATTTTTGTGCTCAAAACTAGTGTTCTAACACTTAAGCCACAGCTCCACTTTTTTTTTTTTTTGGTGGTGGTGGTGGTTAATAGAGAACAGTCTCACAGACTTTCCTGCCTGGACTTGTTTTGAACCATGATCCTCAGGTGTCAGCCTCCAAGTAACTAGGATTTGTAGGCATGCGCCACTGGCAGTTTTCCTTTTTTTTTTTTTTCCTCCTTATTTTTGTTGGTTTTGGTTTAATTCCTAGGAGTCAAACCCAGAGCCTTGCATATAAATGCTGGGTAAGTACTCAGCCACTGAGCTACATCCCCATCCTTCATGAGTCTGCTACAATGAGCAAAGAAGTTCGGGAGATCATCAGTCATTGATCACTCATCTCTATATCAGCAATTAATTGGGACATATTTTTACAAATTCCTCCATTAACCCTTAGCACTGTTCACAATACATATGGTATGTGCCACGTTAAAACCTGTATCTACAGTCAGTTCAAAAAGCCCTGCTTGGGCTGGGAATGTGGCTTAGTGGTAGAGTGCTTGCCTAGCATGCATGAAGCCCTGGGTTCACTTCCTCAGTACCATATAAATAGAAAACTCTAGAAGTGGTGCTGTGGCTCAAGTGATAAGAGTGCTACCCTTGATAAAAAAAAAAGAAGCTCAGGAAAGTGTCCAGGCCTTGAGTTCAAGCCCCAAGACAAAAAAACAAAAGCAAAAACAACAGGAAAAAAGACCCTGCTCAATCTGTACCTATTATTGTTGGTAGTTGTTTTTTTGTCAGTTGTGGGGCTTGAACTCTGGGCCTAGTGCTGTCCCTCAGCTCTTCAGCTCAAGGCAAACACTGTACCACTTGGTTTTTCTGGTGGTTTATTGGAGATAAAAGTCTCACGGACTTTCCTGACCTGACTGGCTTTGAATCATGATCTTCAGATCTCAGCCTCCTGAGTAGCTAGGCTTACATGCAAGAGCCACTAGCCCTCAGCTCAATCTGTACCTGTTGCCTAGGCGGTTGCATGGTGCTAAGAGTTCTACCCCATCTTGTTTTCATACCTATAGACCAGATTCTCCTACTGTGCTTTTGAAGAGCCACCACCAGATTAATTTCAAGGATAGTGATTGTGATAACTCAGTTCTTTTTAACCTACAAATCTAGATTATTTACTAGTACCATAAAATTATATTTGTACCATTGCCTATTCCACTTGCTATGCCTATTTATGTCTCTTATCATCTCTAATTCTAGATTTCCTTAAGTATTCTGTTTCTACTCTGACCCTACTCTAGCCTACCCTTTCAGAATGCTGTATCCAGCTTCTTTTTTAATTAATTATTCCATTTATCTATATAAATGAGGGATTGAATCTAGGGCCTCATGCATGCTTGGCAAGCACTCTGCCAGTAAGCCACATTCCCAGCCCTTTAACTTCTTAAAACTCTACCCATGCTCACTAAGACATGCTCTATAGTTCTTGATTAGACATAACCTTAGCTTCACAGCAGTTTCTATTTTCAATTCTTGCATAGGGATAGATTTTCCCATAAACTTGCCAATCCTAACCCCCTGCCTACCATAGTATACTGCACACCATATAGTAATCCTTTCTCACGTCTTTAGAATATTTTTCTATTAACTAGTCTTTGTTTTGTTTTGTTTTGTATTGTCGGTAGCGGGGCCTGAACTCTAGGCCTGGGAGCTGTCCCTCAGCTCTTTAGCTCAAGGCTAGCACTCTACCACTTGAGCCACAGTGCCACTTCTGGCTTTTTCTGTTTATGTGGTGCGGAGGAATCAAACCCAGGGCCTCATGCATGCAAGGCAAGCACTCTACCACTGAGCCACCTTCCCTGCCCACTAGTCTTGTTTTTTCCCCACATTTTTTTTTTTTTTGCTGTGATTCCTTTTTATCTCCCTTTATAAACATGTTCAAGACCTTTCCAGTTTCAGTATATACGTCTTTATTTATTTATTTAGGGCTTGAAGTCAGAACTCTGTCCCTGATCTTCCTTTTTTTTTTTTTTGGTCATGGGGCTTGAACTCTGGGCCTGGGCGCTGTTCCTTAGCTCTTCAGCTCAAGGCTAGCTCTCTATCACTTGAGCCACAGTGCCACTTTTGGTTTTCTGGTGGTTTATTGGAGATTAGAGTCTCCCGGACTTACCTGCCCAGGCTGGCTTTGAACCTTGATCCTCATATCTCAGCATCCTAAGTAGCTAGGATTACAGATGTGAGCCACCAGCGCCCGGCTGACCCTGATCTTCTAGCTAGCACTCTACCACTCGAGCCACAGTGTCACTTCCAGCTTTTTCTGAGTAGTTTATTAAAGGTAAGAGTCAAGTCTCAAAGACTTTCTTGCCTGGGCTGGGTTTGAACTGTGATCCTCCGATCTCAGCCTCCTATAGAGCTAGAAATAATAGGCATATGCCACCAGCACTCAGCTATACAAGTTTTTATTCTAACATACTACTCTATCATACCATTTTCTCTTTTCTTGAAAGTATGGCCTATTCTCAGACTATACTTCCACACCTTCTACCTATTCCTCTGCCCTTCTAAGTGCAACAATGCTTTTCTATGCCTTAAGAAATGGAAGTCTAGGGCTGGGAATGTGGCTTGGTGGTAGAGAGCTTGCCTAGCATGCATGAAGCCCTCGGTTCAATTCCTCAGTACCACCAGAATTGGTGCTATGGCTCAAGTGGTAGAGTGCTGGCTTTGTGCCCAGAGAGGCTGAAGGATAGTGCCCAGGCCCTGAGTTTAAGCCCAGGATTGACAAAAAAAAAAAAAAAAAGGAAGTTGGATCTTTTGGCCAGAACCACCATCTTCCCATAATTTGTCAAAATGATGAACACAAAGGGGAAGAGGAGAGGTACCCGATACATGTTCTCTAGGTCCTTCAGGAAACATGGAGTTATTCCTCTGGCCACATACCTGAGAATCTACAAGAAGGGTGACATTGTAGACAGCAAGGCAGTGGGGACTGTTCAAAAAGGAATGCCCCACAAATGTTACCATGGCAAAACTGGAAGGGTCTACAGTGTTACCCAGCATGCTGTTGGCATTGTTGTAAACAAGCAAGTTAAGGGTAAGATCTTTGCCAAGAGGATTATGTGCATATTGAGCATATTAAGCACTCTAAGAGCCGAGATAGCCTGAAACCAGTGAAGGAAAATGACCAGAAAAAGAAGGAAGCCAAAGAGAAAGGAACCTGGGTTTAACTGAAGCACCAGCCTGCTCCACCCAGAGAAGTACACTTTGTGAGAACAAACAGAAAAGAGCCTGAGTTATTGGAACCTATGGCCTAAGAGATGTAAAAAAAAAAAAAAAAAATATGCCGGGTACTGGTGGCTCACACCTGTAATCCTAGCTACTCAGGAGGCTTCGATCTGAGACTTTTTTTGGGGGGGGGAGTGGGGAAAGGGGTCACTTGTGGGACATGAACTCTAGACCCAGGCACTGTCCCTCAGTTCTTTAGCCCAAGGTGAGCACTCTACCACCTGAGCCACAGAACCACTTCCAGCTTTTTCTGCTTATCTGGTGCTGCGGAATCAAACGCAGGGCCTCATACATGCAAGGCAAGGACTCTACCACTGAGCCCTCCATGAGACTCTTATCTCCAATTAACCACCAGAAAAATCAGAAGTAGTGCTGTGGCTCAAGTGGTAGAGGGCTTACCTTGAGCTGAAGAGCTCAGAGACAGTGCCCAGGCCCAGAGTTCAAGCCCCTGACCGACCCCTACCCCTGCAAAAAAAAAAAAAAAGCCACAGGACTATAAAAATGAAAAAAAGAAAGAAAGAAATGAAAGTTTAGGGCTGGGAATGTGGCTTAGTAGTAGAGTGCTTGCCTAGCATGCATGAAGCCCTGGGTCGATTCCTTAGTACCACATAAACAGAAAAGGCCAGAAGTGGAACTGTGGCTCAAGTGGTTGCTAGCCTTGAGCGAAAGAAGCTCTAGGACAGTGCCCAGGCCCTGAGTTCAAGCCCTAGGACTGGTAAAGAAAGAAGGAAGGAAAGAGAGAGAGAGAAAGAAAGAAAGAGAGAGAGAGAGAGAAAAAAGAAAAGGAAGGAAGGAAGGGAGGGAGGGAGGGAGAGAGGGAGGAAGGGAAAGGAAGAAAAAGAAAAGAAGGAAGAGAAAGGAAGGAAGGAAGGGAAGTCTGCCAGGTGTTGGTGGCTCATGCCTGTAATCCTAGCTATTCAGGAAACAAAGATCTGAGAATCTCAGTTCATAGCTCACCCATGGGGCTGGGAAGGTGGCTCAGTGGTAGAGCACTTGCCTTGCATGCATGAGGCCCTGGGTTCGATTCCTCAGCACCACATAAGCAAAAAGAAAAAAGCTGGAAGTGGCGCTGTGGCTCAAGTGGTAGAGCACTAGCCTTGAGCTGAAGAGCTGAGGGACAGCG